TTACAAACATTTTAATTGATGGCTTCACTTTTGGATTTAGAATACCATTTACAGGCAACCGTACCTTTAGACTCTCAAGAAATCTTTCATTATTGGGGGTAAAGAACATATACTACATCAAAGAATTGACCAAGAAGTTCAAGCTGGATGAGTGGGGGCCCCATTTTCAACACCACCTTTTGCAAACATCCAGGTATCTCCATTAGGCCTATTTCCTAAAAAATCCCTGGAGAATTTGTATGATTCACCATTGTCCTCCCCTGGGGAGTCCATTAATTCCCATATCCCTCAACAATTCTGCACAGTTCAATATCAGTCTATTGATACAGCAATTGTCATAATAAAACAATTGGGAAGAGGGTGCCTGCGGGCAAAAACAGACAGAAAAATGCCAAAAAAACAGAGGTCCCTATTCACCATAACATTTTAACTTTGGGTTTAAAGTAGATAAAGTTTTATTTTGACAAAACCCTTCCATTTGGTCTCATTTATTCCTGCAACCTCTTTAAAAATTTTTAATTGCTCTGCAATGGATTTTAGAAAACAAATTGCAGTCTGTCATTGTTTACTTCTCGATGATTTTTTTATTGGTCCAGCCAAGTCGTCAAAATGCTACAGCGCCCTTATAGCTTTTTACACCCTTGCAAAAATAGACTCCCTTTCAAAGCAAAAAAAGTTATCCAACTAAAACCCCTATTTCCTAGGACTAATTTAATTCGATGAAGTTCGAAGTTAGGCTTCAGCAAGTCCCCTTTATATACAAACAAGAAACAAAAAAAAAATATTAATATCCATGAGAGCATAGAAAAAACATTAACGAATTAGATTACATCAAAAAATTGAATTCGAATTAAATGCACTGATGTAAAAAAAAAAAAAACATTTTCAAAATCTAATGTATTAAAGTTCCTTTTTTGGAGTTATCTTTCCTGTTGCACAGGACTCAAAAACTTTGGCAAGTCTCCGCATACGTCACCATACTATATTTAGCAATAGATATTACTGGCCACTGAACTGGACAGATATAAAAGAGGAAAACAAGAAACAAACACTATTTTTTAATTTTATAAACACAAAATGAGATAATGTATATTCTCCTTCACCCCCAAATCAGGGGTATACGTGGAGATATGCAAGCCTACTCCAAGATCAGTTGTTGCGCGTTTATTCCCAGATCGAGCAGAAGTGTTTTTTCATTGAAAGTGATTATTAATTGATTTTGGATATCGTAGCAATGTCAGTGTTACAAAAATTTTCTGACGAGTTTTGAATAAGTACCTTGGACGAATCTAATGACGCCCCAGTTCATGTAGAGGCTGATGTTCATGTTATTGGACCACAAGATAACTTTGAAAATTCTCCATAAAAACAGCCAAGCTGTTTAGGAGAATCTTCTTCTTCTCCTCCGGCAATAAAGCAGCCAAGCTGCTCTGGAACCTACCAACCTACGAAGTTCTTTCGAAGAACCCTCGTAGAAAAGCTGCTTTCAGCGCAATCTAAGCAGTTCCACGATATGCAAGAGTTTGTAATGGCTGAATTAAACGCTCTAATAGCGTTAGATGAACTCTTGTCTGATGAGATTGATGGGGAACCACCAGCAAAGATGAAGAAGGTGTCTGAAGATTCTTCTGGAGAAACTGCAAAACCGTCCGAAAATTCCATCTTGGAAAAGTTATCTAAACAATTTGACGGTAAGGATAAGTTTGGATTGCCGATCGGAGATGAGCTTGCAAAAATTTTGAAAGCTATGTCACACCTCCTAACCTCATTAGCATAAATCGGAAGAATTGGGATAAACGTAATAAAATATGAACAAAATCCGTAAAAGTCCAACAGCTTTCCTGCGAGAATTCAGCGAGACCAACATGGTAGAGGTGAAAATCGAGAGAAAATTCAACATGAAAAAAGAGGTAAAACTTTATGTTATCTCGATTTATAAGATTTGTAAATTGCAAAAAGTTGAAAAACAAACGTTTCTTTACCTGAAAAGTGAAAGTAGGTTTGCAGTTTCTTATTCTGTCAAATGCTATTGCACTTTAAAGTGTCAAAACAGCACCCCTCGTTTTTGTAAACATGTTTCCACGTGGAAGGGAGTAGTTTGTGGTGAAGATTAACCCACATACATTGATTTAGTAAACAAAAACTCTGAAGAGAATTTCTTTATTTTTTCGATTACCTGTAGCACAAAATGGCTAAATATTTTAAAAGTTGTCAAATGCTATTAATAGCATGTCTTAAATTGAAAAAATGCAGGTGTGCTATAGTTCGTTCCTACTTGTAAGGTAGTCTACTATGCATGTATTTGCAGAGTAACGCGTAAAAAAGTCATTATTCTTATTTATCAATACCCAGTGATATGTGAGAAGTATATGTGTTTTTTAAATACCAAAAACTAAAATTTAATTCTGTCCGTACTCGTGTGCATGCACAAGAATTTTTCTAATTTCCTCTACATGCATATACATGTGTACCTGGATAAAGGATTAAAGGTTTTTTTACATTTGTTTGCAGTTTTAATAGTTTCAACTGTTCATATATCAATCATGCAGCTTTCACTAGAGCCTACTGATTAAATATGATTGTTACTTTTCTAATTTAATATCATAGAATTTATGATCAGATGATGTCAATGCAGTTCTCACATACTTGTGTACATATATATATATCAGGTATTAAAATTCACATATGCAGTTGTCGCCCATGTGGCGCAGTGATTAGAGCGTCTGCTCTAGAGTTGGGAAGTTAGGAGTTAATCCTTACATCGCAAGTTCGAATCCCACTGTGGTACGTGGAGCCAGCCCTTCAGATGAGACCCTATAAACTGAGGCCCTGTGTCGCTGTAGGTGCCGGCACTAAAAAGATCTTCCCTGCTTAAAGGCCCTCAAGATCAGTGCCGAGCAGAGGACAAAATTTGCAGCTCTCCACCGGCAAGTGGTGGCATCTCCATATGAGTGAAAAATTCTTAGGGGGATTTCATTTTAAACAACATACAATCAATCAATAACATAAGCTTTTATGAAAATTTTGAATATTTCTATGGGTACCACTATTTTCCCTTTTAAAATATTGCCCATCTTAAAGTAGGGTAGATATTGAAAATAGTATAAATATTATAAAACTAGAGGTATTGTGCATGAACAATGAGCTCTGACACTATATGATACCCACCGCTTTTATATGAATATAATGACTGTCCATGTTTTGCTATGGGTATAACCCCAAATATGTGGGGATAAAAAGTAAAATATAAGATGCGCAATTGCAATATCATGAATATGTAATACAGATTCACTCAAATATCACTCAGCGGTATGGAAATTAGCGGATAATAGATGGGTACACCAATTTAAGCATAACAGACAGACAGACGTACCGATTATTTAATATACCCTCTCGCTTTTCAAGCGGGGGTATTATAAATTACATGCATGCATTAATCTGTTTAATGAGAAGATATTGCTTAAGCTAATATACACTGATGTTTTGCATTTTTGTTTGTAAGAATACAATGTCATGTATTTAATTTACATAGTGTTTAATTTTTTCAATGCGTTAAATGAAAAGTAATTTTCTTTAATGTTTGTCTATTGCAGGTTAGAGTACATTTTGAACAGCCATCTCCAGGTATGACAAAAATAATACAATTGACCCTATAAGGTAATAAACAAACTTATTGAATTTAGAAAATGTATATAATGAAGCACAAATGTGAAATCATTCTAGGTAAAGGCTAAAAATTTTTTCTTTACTTTTCACTAGGCTTTTCACTGGTAGCTCATAAAATATCATATCCCACTAGGCTCTAGATTTTAATAAAAAGAGACTGACCCAAAACCATAATAACAATAATAATCATGATAAATGAAATAGTTATATTTTGTTTATTTAATGTATACAAACAAATTTAATTTAACAAAACAGGATTCTGAAATGACAGAACTTTGAAACAAGCCTGTCAAGTTACTAGCCCAACTATACTTGTATTTTGTTATACATAGACCTGACCCAAAAGACAGATGCCCCCTACCATGTACAAGCCTAGATAAAAAATAAATCACTGACCCCATTCAAAATTTAGAAATGGTCTTTAATATGTAGATATTTATATGATACCTTACTGTATTAAATGCACAAAAATTATCATTTCTTTCATTAAAATTAAACAAAAAAAGCAAATTTTAAAAAAAAAAAAGAAAATCAATTCAATTATAATGTGCAATGAATGTTTCTTGCAGGATATACTCTGAAGACTGTGATGTACAAGTTCAAGGTTTGACTGTTGTGAGTATTGTATATGTACCCTGTAATTGTAAGGATAAATTTATAATATTTAATAGGCAACATTATTATTTACTTATTATCATCTGATCATGCTGATTGGAATAAATAAAGAAAAAATATTAAGCATGCCCAATTACTCCAATATCTACAAGTACATGTTTATCAAAATAAAAAGAATCCTGTGTAAAATTAAGTATAGTTAGAGAGAGAGAGAGAATGATGTTGACGAAAGGGTCAATGTGCCCGGTAATTGAAAATCATGCATCAGTAATTTTTGTTTTTGTTTAATTCTCAAAAGATTTAATCACATTCTGTTCTATTTTCAGCAGATACTTTAATAATAAAGAATGGGGGAAAAAATTTTCACATCATGCTGCATAACAGCTAGTACATGTAAGTTTAAAGGCAGAAGAAAATTCATTAAAAGAGAATTTATAAATAAAGTTGGGTTTCTTTTTAGCAAACAATTTAATTGACTGAAAATTATTCTTATACATAAATCATATTATGCAAACTGTAAATGATTGCATTACATATTTTACTGATTTGCGTGTAGTGCATTGATATTTGTCAAATTTTTCATTCAGTTTTTTTTTTACATAATTACAAATGCTTGTATTTTATTTGGAATAATTAAATTTATAGGATTGCATTAACTTATTAATCATATTTGTAGTTCAGCTGTAACAAAACAAATTATCTGATGGCTTCAAACAGAATCTAGGAAAGGAATCATGTCAAGTCCCAAAAAGAAGGTATGTTGATTACTGGTGATGATAATGTTATTGATGTAAATAGAGTATATACTTGCAGCAATAAAATAGAGAGAACAATATAATTTTCAAAAAATTAAATCGTAATTCTTTTCAAGAATAGGCAGGTCATGATTAGTCACTCTGAGATAGTTAAGAGCAGATTAAGATTTGTTTAGACCGTATAGGTATAGGGTAGTGTGGGTCCACGGGGGGATCAAATTTAGTCTGGAATATTTTAAACCTTCTATTCAAGATTATCAGGGCCACGTACATCATATTTTTTGAATGAATACATCCTAGTACAGAAACCCCGAATTAAGGGTAATGGATGTGCCATAATTAGAAACAGAATGTTTATCTTGAAAGTCCTATGTAAATATTGGAAAATCATTTTGTTTATTTCTTGGTTTTAAGTTAAGTAGAGATTAAAAAAATATAAATTTTCTTTTTTCAAATACCCATTTTATGGAGACTTTAGTTGATATTTTTGTAAGGTAAAAAAAAGGTACAATTTTTAGAAAAAAGAATATTTTGGGGTTTTAGAAAAGGGGGGTAACTCTCATCATGATAGTAAATGATGGATGTCAGAAAATGTGAAAAATGTGTACTGTTGGAAAACAAGTGAATACAGTGCAGTCTGAATATATAAGTACAGTTAAACAACAGTATCTTAAAATCAAACAACGTTGACTACCTAGGGTATGTTGACGTTCATGACGTACAGTATTACAAATTGGATGAATGATTTGCAAACACTTTGAATTGCATATTTGATTTACTTTTGTTAATGGTTAATTTGCTCATTTTTTGCATATCTCTTTCTCATGTAGATTATTAATGAACAATGATAGATTGAATTAGCAACTGTAAATGGCATACATGTATATGAATTTTATATACTCTGTTTAGAGTTAAACTTTGGTACATGTATACATGTATATTTTACACTGAGTGTTATCTTGAACACACTGAGATATCAAAGTCATTTTAAAGTCCCTTGAACGACATTTTTTTCTATATATCTTACCCTGAATCTCTTGGATATCTCAGTTTTTTTCAGCAGTCTCATAAGCATTTCAAGATATTAACAAGTGTAACTTCATGTTGTTGATTCAATTAATTTATGATGAATTATAAAAATATTAATATCAATCATATACTTTTATGTTAATGCATTAACATTTTATATTTTTCAGGCCATATAACAAATGGTTGCTGAATTCATAAATACTAGCTGGGATGATACTGTACTTTTCCTAAACATCAATTGAGGATCCCTTTCTCAGAAAAAAAAAGAATTTGCATATTCAAAGACTCTATAGTTTATTGTTTATTTGTACATTGTTTAACATTCTTCTTGAGAATTTTTCACTCAGTTAGGGATGCCAAAATTTGTTAAATAAGTTAGAAAATGTTTGCATAAAAGGGAGGTAATAGCTACATGTAGCTCTCTCTGGTATTGCATGCTTAAAGTATATGAATTACATATTTTAATTACAGTATTTTAAACCCGATCAGAAAAGAAAGAAACACTTGAATATTTTTACTATTAATTTTATTATAAGGTTGATTATCTTTAAAAAATGGAACTTTAATTTTTTTTTGATGGAAGAAAAAAATATTTAGAATGTACATGTGCACTTAATTTTGTTTATTAAAGAATAGTAAAATTTGGAGATCTTGTGAAGGGTATCTAAATGTTGATTTATAAATTTTTTTATTTTTTAAAAACAATAGTCTTTATTATAACATATGCCTGAATATACAACTTATTTGTTGTTGGAACATTCCATTGCCTGTCTACACGTAGTGCTTAGTATGTATTTCTTGTAAATACAAACATGATTGCAATATGCCGTTTTTTGCTTTGTCTTTTTTTTTTAATATGAGCCATGATATATAAATGGTGTGCATATCCATTTAAATTATTTTTGTTGAATTCAGTTAACAGAAAAAAATTAATAACTGAATATAATTATATAGATAGATACCTTCCAGAAATAACGAGAGTAGCTGCAGATATGTAGCTTATGTGAAATCAGGTATACTTGAAAATCAGTTTCCTGTATTTATTAAACAGAATATACCTATGCAGTATTTCATACTGAAAATACACTGTGTGTTAATGTTTTACTTATTCAACATAAAAATTGACCAGAAGTGATCTTGAAGAAGTACAACATATATCTCAATATATTTTCAACCAATTTTATCACAATTTAAATGTATATAAATTGATAAAAGAAACTGACTATACCATTAAAAATGCTGATTGTTTTCCTTGTTTAAAGAAAATGTCTGATGCAATAATCTCCCTTGGGTTCATGACCCTGAAATTAAAAGGTTGGGAGGTGGTTGTTTTCTGGAGACAAAACTAAAGCAAATAAAGAGAAGAAACGAAAGAAAAAATGAAAAATTCAAACTTCCTCAAAATTGTGAAATGTTGGTGGTACCGAAAGTCAATAAAAAAATGGCGATCATTGCCGGCATCTGCAAGGAATTCGGATCTTGACATATAAAAGCCGCAAAAATTTTTGCACATGCCATAGTTGCGATAATTCGAGTCATCAACAATCTCATTAAAACGGACCCTCATGGAGATAATGCTGGGAAAAAAATTTCAATCCCAAAAGGGATTTCAGAGAAAGCAAATTTCCCGGGTTTTTATGAACTCTTGGAGAGCGTAAATAAAAAAAAGTATGATTCGCATATGAAAAAGTGGCTAGAATTTCTAAATTGCAAATCTATCCATGTATTAATTTTTCAAAAAAGTTGTCTTGGATTTTCTTACCGAACTTTTTGATAAAGGATGGTCATATAATACGATAAATTCCGCTAGGAGTTTTCTAAGTTATTTATAACCATCTGTTAATGATGTGGCTATTGGTTCTATCCGCTAATTAGACGTTTCATGAGAGGAGTCTAACGACCGTCCTAATTTACCGCGGTATACAGAGACTTGGGATGTGAACACGGTCTTATCGTTTTTCTTAGTATGGGGGAAAATGAAGTTTTATCAGTGTTTGATTTGACATTGAAGCTTGTCATGCTATTAGCGTTAGTAACAGGACAGTGAGCACAAACTTTGTCACTTTTAGATTTAGATAATATGCATGTTTATGATTGATTGATTGTATACTATTTAACGTCCCTCTCCAGAGTATTTCACTGATATGGAGACGTCGCCATTGCCGGTGAAGGGCTGCAAATTTAGGCCTATGCACGACACTTACGGCCGTTGAGCAGGGAGGGATCTTTATGTGCCACACCTGCTGTGACACGGCGCCTCGGTTTATACGATCTCATCCGAAAGACCGCCCCATTTAGTCGCCTTTTACGACAAGCATGGGGGTACTGAGGACCTATTCTAACCCGGATACCCACGGGGTGCATGTTTATGAAGACAGAATGTTTATGAGGATAGAATTGTGTTTTGTGTAAATACTCTTGTAAAACAATCTAGGCCATCTTATCATATAAAACCAATTACAGTGTTAGCTTTTCCGGATAAGATGCTTTGTGTTGTGTCATGTATTAAAGTGTATATAACAAAGACGGAAAAATATAGAGGTAATGGAAATAGAAAACTTCTTTTGACAACCCAAAAGCCGTTTCGAGAGGCATCGAAAGACAGTATTTCTCGCTGGATAAGAAATCTGTTATCTAAATCTGGCATTGATACCAGCAAGTTTTCTGGACATAGCACTCGAGCTGCTGCAAGCGCCGCCGCACGTTCTTCAGGGATTTCAGTTGACAATATCTTATCACATGTTGGATGGTCTAATGAGAATACATTTGGAAAATTTTATGACAAAACTGTTTTACATAATGATAAAAATTTTCAGTCTGCAATTTTGTCAACATGTAGCTTAGATGATATGAATATTCAATAAATTTTTGACAGTTATAGGAATTCTTCTACTTTGTATAACAATATTCCTATTTTCAATATGTGAATATTTGCTTTAAACATCTCACGTGACTTGATGGTGAAGGAGAATTAGAAAATCAAAGGAGACCTACCTGTAAGGTGAACTTTACTTAAAATTTTCCGAAACACCAAGGAACTTTGGGTATTATGTGCCCACCCCTTTATCTCCTTCCCATGGGAACTAGGGTGATAAATTTATAATAATAGATAAAAATGTAGCATCTGTAGAATTGTTATTATCAAGAATATTCACATATTGAGTTAAATACTGATCTGGGAGTAGGCTTGCATATCTCTCACGTAATACCCAACGTTCCTTGGTGTTTTGGAGGATTTTAAGTAAAGTTCACCTTACAGGTAAGTCTCCTTTAATTTGCTAATTAAACGCACAAACTAGGTGCCGAAATTTCAACTATCAAAACATACTCAGTTGATAAGCCTGAAACAGCTGTGAATAACATAAACGTTTCTTGTCATACCCCGTACCTGTTGTTTATGAATTATTATGTAACATAATCCACTGGAGATGTCTGTTGTTCTTTTATTAAAAAAAAGAACTACATATCTTTTTCCATCGGTCACTCTGCGATCATACCATGTGTTCATTTTTTTTACAAACTGTAAAGGGTTAGGCCAAATGTTCACAAAATTCAATAAAACCGGAAGTAAAAGTATTTTTTCTCTATATA